AATGAATTCTAAGATATGCAGGTGTATGTGCATGTTAATTAAAAGAGCATGATGACGTTGTAGAAGGAAAGATGTGAATCGTCCTATCAGAAGTGTGGAAAAACGGACGCGCTCACGTCGCGCTCAGTTCACGAGGTGTCCACGTGGGAACTCACTTCTCGTCTCCCTTCGAGCCTTTCATAAGCGTTTGCTTCACATATCGCGCGTGCATCCCACGCTATACGTCACGCATCAATCAATTATCTCGAAAAAAAAACCAATGCTGATCACTTGTTTGAAAGATAAGCAACAGGTATCCAAATACTGGTTTCTCGACCGAATTTTCTCTCCAAGCCACAATGACTTATCTTTAAACGATATATATTGTAGAGAATAAAATACGGAGGAATGGCTTCTTTTACAGCGAGTATGTGCAAGAGAGAGGGACGCGGATGGCTGCCTGATGCAAGTTAACCAAAACACATCTTGCAGCGTTTTAAGTCACGTGTAGAGGTGCTTCACGGGGAAGAGATGAAGAATTTCTGAGATAAGGGTCTATTTAAGAGAGCATTTCGATTAATTGGCATTTAGGAGAGCATTTCTCAGTTTACTCGCTGAGAACAAAGAAATATCTCAGAAGGAGCCAATGGGAACTCGAAGTAGAAACAAGCAAACTGTCTAAAGCGCGGGAAAATGGAATGGACTCAGACGCGTTTGGTTTTAGTTTTGAATCTCATTGGATGTGAGAAGGTGGCGCGAGATTTCTTAACCTATCACAGGTCGAAGTATACCAAAACCATGGTAATCTAGGATTACGTTCGACGCTCGACTGAAAATCGCTGCGATAACCAAAGGAATAGCTAATCAGCTGAGTGTCGCCAACATGTCTCTACTGTGAACTAGCGCTGGGTGCAATTTATTTTGCCTTAAACGGCATATCCATTGAAAAATTTTGTTTTCAGGAAGTTAGATTAAACTTTTTGCTTAGATTGGGACAAATTAGGATTATGAAAACATCTTAATATGACACGTCACAAACAGGAGCATAAGATACATTAAATTCAATGGTGGGTTCAATAGACCGTTTCAACCGTCTCTTTAACAACATTTTGCTATGGAGTAATCTCGGCAACAACACATAGTATGAATATAATAACAGTGGCTATAACCGCTGCAGAGATCTAGAAATATGACTTATCAACGGAAAAAGAGAGATTAACTGCGTGAGATGTGGCTGACCTAAGGCAAACAATATTCGTAATAATTTCCTTAGGCTTTTTCGTTGTGAAATGCTCGTCGTCACCATTGAGTTTGCTCAAGATTAATAAAACATATTTCCTGTCGGCGGCTCAAAACTTAGTTACTGCACAAGTAAGTTGGACTAAAAACTTGAAAGAGCATATACACTTCCCTGACCAATAAGAATAAGTCCAGCCTGACGAGAACAGCAGCTCATGCTAACGTTTGTGGTTGTCCACATCCAGAACAGGCTTTCACCGACACAGTGAAACATATTTACTTACCTTCACATCTTGAAAGGTCGTAAAGTCTTTGGGAATCCAAATTTCTGTTCGATCAGGGACAAGTGGACTGCAGATATCTGCCAAGAGCAGCGTCAGTGGTGGGTGTGACGAGAGAATGACTCCGCTAATGTTTGTCTTTCGAGTCTTTTATCAGAGATATTATTAGATCTCATTACTAATGCCGAAAACACTCGAAACTATTGCGGTCAAAACATCTTTCTCGTGAATAAACATTTTGTCTTCTTCATAAAAGACTCATTGAGGCATGTCCAACTTGATAGGTGTCCTTTGCAGATTATTTAAAAGCATTGTTGGATAGTTTTGTGTTGGAGTCATGTCATGATTGAATGAACAACACGTTGGCTGTCGCTGAATTTTCGCTTGAAAGCGGACATGAAGCGCTCTTAAAAAACGCAAGAAAGCCTATTGTCAAACCAGCGACTGGTCATTGGGAAGAATGGCTGCTGCCTGCATCCGTGTGTCCAAATCTCAAGGATGGGAAGGGTAGGTTTTAGACGCTACCGACAAATTTAATTTGATCTTTGGTCAAAAAGAGCTTCCTCGAAGAGGCTATTTTCAGTTTTGTTTTTTCGCACCTCGTATTGCATGTCGTAGATTAATGGGCATGATGTGCAAATATGTAACACATGTTAAAGAGCATGACCACTTTGGAAGGAAAGTTGGAATTGGTCTTGTCACAAGTAGGAACAACTGAACAAACCAGAGAGACATCAGGAGCGTAAGTGACGGGCCAACATTTTTCGCCAGGGAGGGGGGGGGAAGGTTAGAGGATTTTTGTCAAGATAAAAATTATCTGATCTCCCCATAAGTCTCTCTTATATTCTGATGATTCTTCCCCCCGCCTCGTTGGCAGTCAGAGGGCCAATAACTAAAATCAACTAATCAAAATGCTCTATTGCCGGTCCAATATTCTTTAAGTATTGGACCGGGCACTGTTCCGAATGGTCCCGAATGATACCGCACTTGTGTCCCTTTGAACTTCAGTCGTATAATAAATCTCTTATTAACCAAGCTTGCTCGGGACCGTACTGGAAGAATATCGGCCGTTGCTCTTTTTTTGTACGGACCTCGCTACTCTCGGTCCGTACTGTCAAGACCTCGGGCCGATATTCTCCCAGTACGGCCGTCGCGCTTGGTTAATAAGATATATTTCAAAATTTTCACCCCTGTCAGGCGATAGAATATTCGGGCACTGTAAATAACTCAATATAGTTTTCTGAATGCTGAAAAAGTAACGTGTCCAGGTTCCGAATTGTATAATGAACGCTATGAATAATACACTTTTTTATCTGATAAACCATAGTTAATAAACGTGCTTTCAAACAATCTTGAAACTGTGACCAACCTGGTCAAAGCCCAGTGAGCAATCATAGAAAATCTCAGCAACCAAGTCTTTGCAGCTGTCAAAGGAAAAGGCAACGACAAGGAGTTTCAACAAATATTTGACAAGTTCGCCAATCATACTGAATGAAGCAGATTCATAATGTGTTAATGAAACGGTTGCAGTATGGTCAGACACAACCATAAAACTTAACAAAGCTGTCATAAGCCTTGAGGAGAGAACAGCGGAAAGCCAGGATAACCTTGGAGTCTTGGCGAAAAAACTTTCAGAGAAAATTTACAAGTTGGAACAGCAGGTAAAAACTTTAAAAGACTCCTAATTATAAGTTACGCCCAAGAAGAAAGTGCATCGATCCAGCGGGGTAAGAATATTCTGACCCTTTAAATCCTTTGGGTGACCAGCATCTAATTTCTCCTAACAGCAACCTGATGGGATGAAGCAAAAGCTGCCTGCTTGTTGTCGGGAACAAACGATATTTCGATCTCATGACTAACGTCCGAGGCATTCGAATATATTCAGATAGAGGTCAAAAGACGTTTGTCGTGACTTATTACTTGATAGATAAAGTGATCAAGCATATCAAATTTTGTTGTTGCTCTCGTCAAGAACCCTTTTCATGTTTCGCAATTCTGGACTGAAGCCATAATCATAATGGTCAGATTTGGCTCAAAACTTGACCTTTCTAAAGAGTTATCCTTTGTCTCGTGGACGCATAGAAACACAGACTTTTTGTGTCCGAAAAAGGATAAACATGATAAATAAATGGTAAATCGTTGTTCTTACGATTTTCGGTTACTATTGATTCGAATCAAACTGTGAATTACAGATCGTGACGTTTTGGACTGCTATGCGCTGCTAAACGTAGACTTAGTCAGCCCATGAGGACAAATGATTACGCGTCGATACTTATGTTGCATGATGGAATGAGGATTAGCTGTTATGGGTGCATGCATTTTGGCACGCTTTCGTCGTATTTAAACATTATTTTGTTTTCCATCAAGATGGATTTAATAACCTAAGCTTCTTTTTTTCTGTTACACAACCCTTAAATCTCTTAGAAACATACACAGTGGCGAATCCACACCTCGAGCTAAGGGGTGGGGGGTGGGGGGGGCTTATTGTTTGTGTGTCTTCACCTGCCGGCTTTTCTTCCCTCTGCCTTCGTTATTTTACTCCAAAATAAGGGGGATTCCGGGGCCCCCGTTCTCTCCCCTAGATCCGACACTGATACATGAGAGAGAAGACCGATAGCTGATAGATACAACCATTCGAGTCATTTTTGTCCGTTAATTAAAGGAGTCGCAAAAGCTCTAATAAACTTTTGCGTCGGTCAAGGCATGGTATTGACAGATCGAGTAAACAAATGATTGCATCCTGTTTCCGCCTGTCGGAGTAGAATTTCGAGCTGAGCTTTGGGGCGTAAAAGCTCGGCTGATTGAGAATTCCTTCCGCCTCTTTCAAGCGTACCGTTGCTGTGTTCCTCTCTCAAATGCTTTTCATTTCTGACAGTATTTTTTATAGTATTATCCGACAAACATGAAAATTTGTTCGGGGTCTTACTAAAACACAGAGATATTTCACCTTTTCTTGTCTTAATCGAAGTGAACTTCCCCTCTTGTTTTCAACGGCTTTCCCAGTGAAAGGCTGAAACGACAGTGTATTAGCGTTAGAACGAAATTTGGTAAAGATGCAGTATTAGCAACTGAGCTAAATTTTGGCGAACAGCGAGGGGAGGTGTGATCAACAAAATTGACGTTCTGTAGAGGTAAATTCCACTCCGAGATCTTGTCTAGCGCTACTACGAAATTTCTAATTTCGGACGGCATTGACTCAACAAACAAGTGGTCCAAATAAAACGAAGAAATGAAACGAAGAAATAACTCACCTCTCTAGCCTTTGTTGAAGTGAAACACTAGTAACGAGTATTCTCTTCTTGTGTATAAGAACTTCCACAGGGTCTGGCTGGGTTGACAATGTTAAATGTTTGAGGGAAAAAAGTGGTTAGGATGCAATGCTGCTGGAGACTAGCTGCTCTCTGTGGTTTAAAACCGGGGGAGGGGGTGCTCTATGAAGTTCTAGATGCAAAGATTCCCGTCATTTTATCCACTATAGAATAGGTTTCCTTTTCGTACACTTTCCACACAAAAAAAGCACCCTTTAAACCTACCATTGGATATTGAACCGACAGAATTTGTAACCCTTTTAAGAATCTAAAGCCTGGAAAAGGTCCGTCCATTTGGCGGAGCCTCCCCACCTAAGTCATTCTAAGAAATACCTTTCCCCC